AGAAGAAGAAGAAGAAGAAGAAGAAGAAGAAGAAGAAGAAGAAGAAGAAGAAGAAGAAGAAGAAGAAGAAGAAGAAGAAGAAGAAGAAGAAAGAAACAATTGAGTATTTAAATACAAAAATTAAACAGAAATGTTTAAAAAACAGAGATAAAGACACTGTGGGGATAAGACAGAGAGAAAGTGGTGGCTGAGGTGTGGAATGGTGAATACAATGATCAAGATGTAATATGTACATGTACCAACTCCCCAAGATGAATGTGTTTACTATATATTGCAAACATATATTAATAAAAGTCTTTTTCAGAATGAGTACTTACATTCCAATAAATTGGAAAATATGGAAGAACTGGATAAATTTTTAAATATATAAGACATACCAAAATTGAACCAAGAGTACACAAAAACCTAAACTGAAAAAAAAACAATAAAACTGAAACAGTAAAAAAAATAAGCTTTCCCAACAATGGAAAGCCCATGACCAGATGGTTTTACTGTTAAATTTTACCACAATATAACATTAGTGAGCTAAGAAGAAAAGTGATCAAAAACATTGTACAAAAAACTAAAAAGTTAATGAAAATTGATCACAATAAAGAAGAGGAAAGGAGATAGTAGACAGAAAACCCTATAGATACAAAAAGATAAAAAAATAAAGAAAGTTGACTATATAAAAAAGTAAAAATAATAAACAATAGAATGGATGAGAAGTAGAGAGGAAAGGGAAAAAATAAAAATGTCAAAAGTTTTGTAGTGAAAGAGTTTTGTTTAATCAGTCTTCCTCCCCAGCATGTGCTCCCTTATCCCATATGCTTTCCGCCTGTGCCCAGGGTTGGGATGCGTCCTGGCTGCAGGTATGACTGATAGTGCTGTGGTTCCACTGGGTCTATACTGGATGGGTGGTGCACACTCAGCTTGAGACCATGGACAGTGTGCCTGGGGTGGTGATCATTGTCCAGGTCACTTCTAGCTGTCACTCACAGCACCCCTGCATCATTTGAACCATGCAGGTGGGTAAGTAGGGCTTTCACTACTGCTAGAACAGTAGCAGCTAGCCCTCTCACAGGCAGAGCTCCTGCCTTGTGTGGGCCAGACTTTGTTGTGCACACACAACTTACTGAGCTAAATTTGTGTGCCTGGAGGGAATGACCATGGTCTAGGCCACAGCTAGCCTCTCACCAGCAGAGCTCTTCTGTGATGAAGGCCTTGCAACTGCCTCCCTTTTTTGATGCATGAGAGCCAATACTCCATCATCCTTTTATTCTCACACAGGTAGGAGAGCTGAAAAGAAAACACAGTTGTTCTTTCCTTTAGCAGCAGGAGGAAATTTAAAACCATTCAATCTACCTGTTTCTGATGTTGATGATGAACATTTTTGGTGCCATTGTTGTTCTCTATTGGCTTTAAGTTGTTGTTTCATTAATTTCCAGTTTAATTTTTATGATACAATTGCCTCATCTTTCCCCAGATTTATTTTGCTCTTCTTTGTTCAGTTTCTTAGGTAGGACATTAGGTTATTAATCTGACATCTCACTTTTTTTTTTTGAGACAGAGTCTATTAGTTTAAGCTGGCCTTGAACTAGTGGCGATCCTCCTACCCCAGCCTCCCAAGTGCTGGGATTACAAGTGTGCGCCACCAGGCCTAGCTCACTTCTTTCTTAATATAGATATTTACAGCTTAAAATTTCTCTGTAGCATTGTTCCAGTTACGTTGCATAAATGTTGTCTGGTGTCTTCATTTCCCTTTTGATTTCTTCTTTAACCCACTGGTTATTTAACAGTTTAATTTCCACATGTTTGTGAATTTACCAAATTTTCTTCCATTATTGATTTCTAATTTTATTCCATGTTGTCAGAAAATGTATTTTAACTATTTGTTCCTTTTAAATTTACTGAGGCATGTCTTGGGGATTATTATAGGGACTGTACTACTATCCTACAGAATGTCCATGTGCACTTGAGAAGAAAGCATGTTCTGCTCTAACGGACCAGACTCTTCTATAGACATCTATTAGGTCTACTTTACTTATAGTGCAGTTCAAGGCCTCTATTTCCATCTTCATCTTAGATCTAGCTGTCTTACTCATTATTTAAAGTGGAATATTGATGTTTTCAATTGTCATTGTTTTGTTTTGTTGAAATTTCTATTTCTCCTTTCATTTCTGTCACTTTGCTTTATGTATTTTTGCCCTCTGCTGCTGGATCTAAGCCCCTATTATCTACAATGTTTATGTCTTTTTTTTTTTTCATTCTCCAGCAGAGGTGCACCATTCCTGGAAGTACTCCACTCCCTGGTTCCACCTTCACTGAGAAGCAAATTGTTCACACTTCCATCTCTTTCTTTTTCAATAATAAAGAGGGACTCCATGCCTGGGATTAGCCCTGATGCAAGATGGTAATTGGCATTACATGACTTTATACCTGCTGATCATGTGCTAATCCTCCTGTTCACCTCTTCTGTGTCCCAAATCAACAAAAATAACTCCTTTCTCAACTTTGTGCTCTGGCCTTTGTTTCTCCTCACATATTTCAGAATCCAGCAGCCTAGAATACTTTCATCAAAATGCCAGTACAAGAAGTGCTAAACTGGCCCAATCCACTTGCCCAAATTTAGATGCCCTGAGGCAGGTAGAAACTGTAGGAGGCCCAACTATCAAAGCCTGGCCAATCTCTTTGTGATGCCCTTGCCAAGGTCTACCTGAGGACAATCTCAAGCCCCTACATTTCCTGCTCACATTCTATGTAATGTTCATGTCAAAATCTGCTGTGGTCAACCTAATAGCCTACACTGAACCACACTTAGGCCCTCTTTTTTTTTTTTTTTTTGTACCAGGGATCGAACTCAGGACCTTGCCCTTGCAAGGCAGATGACAGAACCACTGAGCTAAATCCCTGGCCCAAGCCCTCTTGAAGGCAACCTTAATGACCGGTTTGTTCCACACTCAGAGAATACTTGGCACCAGGGGTGGATCTAATAAGATATTTTGGGCATAAATTCACAGTAACTGCTTGCCTATTCCAGTGCCTACTTCAAAGTAATCTAAATCCCAGCCTGTTTCTACTTCTTCTCTGGGTTTACCAGGTACTGATTAGCAGAACTGTCAGGTTATTCTCTGTGCCTACTATTCATGTCAGTCTCAGCACTCACAAACAGCTAATGTTGGTCTCAATCTGAGCTAGTGTGAGCTGGTACAGGAAATGAAAAGAGAAGGGGAAAGAGTTCAAATCCCAACTCCATCACTTGCTACCTCAGCAATTTCAGTGAGGTTAATGATTTACAAGCCCCTTCAATATAAAGATTTAAAAGATCATGTGCACATTCACATAATCTTCCTGGAATATAGGAAACTCACTAAGGGTAACTGTTACTACTATTAAAGGAAAATTTTAAGGACAGAAGGATGGTAGGGCCACTCATCCCTTCTCTGTTCCCATTCTGAGCATCCTAGGTCAATTTTGGCCCCTACCCTGGAGTTTACCCATATCTCTCATTCTAGAGTTCTCTGTGGCTTTTCATAGGACCCCTGGACAATCTATAAAACACCACTAAAGGAGAATTAATGCTCTCAAATGTGATATTCCCTTCCCAAATGCTGCCATTCCTTGTGTGGGGAAACAAAGCCCAGAATAGGGAAACTGCAAATGCAGAGAACAGACAGGAGGAGTTTAAGCACTTTGGCTTAAAGTCTTCTGATGCATGTGCTCCATGCTCAGTCTCAGTGTTCTGTCCTAAGTACATCCATAGGTAAAATGGGAAACATTAATAACAAAAATAACAACAATAATAGAAATGATCCAACAAAGCTAGTGAGCATTCCTAAGAATCTGGGTCAAAATCTAATGGAGCTTTCTATAACTTAGTACTCTTGGGAAAGTTGGGACTTTCCACAATATGTGTGATTATTAGTAGTATTTCACAAGTCCCTTTGCAAACTGTGACCCTGAGTGATATTCTGAACTTACGCAAACTGTTCCACTGAAATGTCCCTCTGGTCATCTACCTTTACCACAGTCACCTAAGGGCAGTGAATATTCTACCTCTTATGGGGTCCATCCTGGCCACACTTTGAAGATTCCACAAAGACTCTGGGTGGTCACAAGCAGTATATGCGGCCAGAGACAAGCAAGTCAGCATCTAGGTTCAGGTGCTGACTCCAGGACCTGGCTGGGATTGTCATATACTTCTAGGAACTCCACATCTATAGCTCTGGTCCTTCTCATTTAAGACCCTAAATAACTAACCCTGGAATCCCCCTTCTGGAATCCCTTGAGCAAATTATCACTCCTCACTAACAACCCTAAATCTACAGCAACATTCATGTCTAATCCAGTGAAATCCAATGCTTTTGCTCTGTCATAGATGCTTGTGAAATCCCTTCTCAACCTGGGATTCCAACACCAAAGTTCAGCTGCACAACTGTGCAAATATTCCACTGTTTTCAACTCTTGTATAAATTTCTTAACCCCATCAGTTCTCAGATTCTTCCTCTTCCAGGGCTAGAAATTGAGTGTTAAGACACTACCTGTGAATCTGCTCAGATGTCCCACCCCCACCTACCTGCAGGTGACACAAACTAAGCTGGGTCCATGTTGGGGGTGTGGTTGAGAGGTGAAATGAAACAATTATATAAACAGGAACAAAGGCCACACTTCCATCTCAGGGAGTATAAATGAAAAACATCTCAGCTGTCACCATCTGTCAACCTCACTGCAACCATGCTGGCTCTAGGGATGCTTCTGGTGACTCTGCTGGCCTGCTTGAGTATAAGGGCCTTGATGTCTGCCTGGAGACAGAGGAAGCTCTGGGGGAAGCTGCCTCCTGGACCCACCCCACTGCCCTTCATTGGGAACTACCTGCAGCTGGATACAGAGAAGATGTACAGCTGCCTCCTGAAGGTGTCTGCAGGCAAGGGGATGGGTGGAATGTGGTGACATGGGAGTCTGTGCTCAGACTGTGAAAGGGTACTTGTCAGGATAAACCAGTCTTAGGATGGGGGGATTCTGAAGGTTCAGCAACTACGTACTAGCCAGGAAAAAACTGTACCTTGCATGTTCAGTACCTTAAATGTCAGAGCCTAAGAGAAATGCATTGTAGGACATGACTTCTGGCCTATTCAGGGAATAACTCATCTAATCATTCCTACCCACTCCCATCAGATCAGCAAGCACTATGGCCCCGTGTTCACCATCTACATGGGGCTTCGCCGGGTGGTGGTGCTGTGTGGATATGACATAATAAAAGAAGCTCTGGTGGATCAAGCTGAGGAGTTTAATGGGAGAGGCGAGCAGGCCACCTTCAACAGCTTCTTCAATGGCTATGGTGAGGGAAACACCAAGAGAGAAAAAGTGACTGGGTAGACTTTGTGGCCTTAGTTTCCCAGGTTTCTTTGCTGACTCGCCTGCCTCTACACATTATCTCTCCCTATGTCAGTCTCCAACTTGTTCTAGACCTTCTCTGTCCTGCTGTCTCACCTTGTCTTTCTGCCCCTGTCTCACCATTCTATCTCATTACATGTTGTTTCTTTCTCTGGATCTATCCATCTCTTAGAACCTCTTCTAATTCTTGTAGTGGAATCCTGCTCCTCTAACTTTACCTGATGTCTTTGTTTCTCATCTTCAGCTTTTATGCTTCCCCATGATTATATCTGTCTTCCTCTCCCTCCCTTTCTTCTTCCTCTGGCAGAATCTCATTCAATGCCTGCTTCAAAGTTGCATTGCCTTTGGGACAACAATTTCTCCTTTCAGAAGATTTCCATTTCTCTTTTGCTATTTTTCTCTCCAGCTCAGTTCATAACTTTTCACAATTTTGTGTCAACCTACAGCTGTAAAAATAATCTCCCTACCTCTCCCTCGGTCCATCTTTCCCTTCACCCTTTCCTTCCTCCTTCCATGAAAGTGTCTCTGTACTGTTGTTTCTCTACAACTGTCTTACCTCTCTGTGTCTTCCTTCTTTTGATTGTCTTTTTCCAAATCAGTTATCTTTCTCTTTTCATATATATCTGACCCTGGCTCTGAGTTTGTAGCTCTAATACTCTCTTACTCTTGATCTGTATCCATCGAATTCCTGTCCTATTGGAATCCCCTTCATTGGTGGTCTGAGGCCTTCCCAACCTTTCTCTGAACTTGTCCTAGCTTTCCGCTCACCTCCTCAGGCGTGACATTCAGTAACGGGGAGCGGTCCAAGCAACTTCGGCGTTTCTCCATTGCCACACTGAGGGACTTTGGTGTGGGCAAGCGTGGCATTGAGGAGCGAATCAAGGAAGAAGCAGGATACTTTGTCCAGACCATTCAGGCCACACATGGTAATTGGGGGCCCTAGGGTGCTTGGGAAGGAGAAGAAAAACACCTGATAAGAAGGACCTGTGCCATGTGAAGTGAAATGGGGACATACGTGGGGAAAGGCTCCTGGTTTCCCAGATCTGGGGTCCAGTGATAACAATTTGGCTCAAGGGCCGGGGATTTAGCTCAGTGGTTCCACCATTTGCCTCGCAAGCACAAGGACCCAAGTTCGATCCCCAGTACCAAAAAAAAAAAACAAAAAAAAACAATTTGGCTCAACACTGCAGCACTCTCCTCAAATTGTCAGCCTGACATCACACCATCCAGTCGGCTTGCTCCCAGTTCCTGTCTCTCCCTAACTCCATGCCACTCTGCAGGTGCCTTCATTGATCCCACCTTCTACCTGAGCAAATCAGTCTCCAATGTCATGAATTCCATTGTCTTTGGAGACCGCTTTGACTATGAGGACAAAGAGTTCCTTTCATTGCTACAGATGATGACAGGAATCAAGAAATTTGTAGCCTCACCTCAAGGGCAGGTAACATATTCCAGGTTTGCCTTCCACCCCCAAATCAACTTGACAACAGCACCCAGAGGGCAACAGATGTCCCAACCTTCCACCCTCCTACAAAGTCCTCTCCAAGCCATCCCCCATTGTTGGACAACTGACCAGTTGCAGTGTACTAGGACAGGGGCCCAATACCCAATCTCCAAGGATTCCTAGATATCTCAACAAATGGCCTCAAAACAACCTGTAGGCTGGGCAGGTGGTCCCATCCCAAGTTACCTTTAATCTTGAACCCATGCTCCCTATTTAGTCTTTCTAAATGTTTTAACACCTGAGTAAGTGACCATCTCGGCCATTTCTGCAACTTGATGCTGCAAATTTTAGGTTTCCAAAATAATTTAAGTTCTATACACCTGTACCAAACCAGCCCACTGGTATAACTAGACAAGTGTCTGATACTCATCCCACTTAAGTACGTGAAGTACTGCACAGGTACCAGAACCAAGATAATTAAACATATAAATATTTGGGCATGTTATTCCTCCAATCACTAATATTCCAACCCAGCACAATTCACACCTCATAGAGATGTCTCTATGCAGTCCTTTGGAATATCTAAACATCAGAACAGGTATTCCCTTTTTGAACACCTGAACTACAGCTCCACTTTATACCTGAATACCAATAAATCAGCTCCCATTTTAAATACGAAAAAATCCAACTAAACAACTGACCACAACTTAGCCAACCTTAATGCCTGAACACCTAAACAGGTGATCCACAATTATAGCCCCACCTGAACTGCTCAAAACCTGGATTTCTCTGTTCCCAAATTACTGGAATGTCTGAACATGTGTGTCTGAAAGCATCTCACTTAAATTCTGGAACAATGATTATCACACTTAACCTACATGTAAAAAAATTACATATGTGTTCACATTGGGCCCCACCTAAATATCTAAATATTGGACAGATGTCTGTGCCCAAGGTTTTCCTTGCCCTGAGACAGTCCTCATTCCTATTGGCTCCTGCCCACTGACAACTGTTTCTGTTTTATGCTCTTTTCCCATTTCCAGCTCTATGAGATGTTTTTTTCAGTGATGAAGTACTTACCAGGACCACAGCAAGAGATCTATAAGGACATGCAGAATTTAGAGAACTATATGGCCAAGAAGGTGGAGAAGAACCAGCGCACACTTGATCCCAATGCCCCAAGGGACTTCATTGATTCCTTTCTCATTCGAATGCAACAGGTACATGCAGCAGTCAGAGTGGGAAGGATCAAAGCCAGGAAGAGGTAAATCAGGGTAAAGAGGAAGAAAGAACTGAACTATATTCAAATTGGTCCCCATCATAATAATCCTCTTAATCCCAATCATAATTAAACATTGCTGTCTAATCTACTAAACCCTAATTCAATGCAGGACATGTGCAGGGAAGCCATAATAGCAACCACCTCTTCAGTACTACCATGTGCCAGGCAATATTTTTCAAGTGTTCTGTGATATTCACCTATTAGCTCCCATAGCAATTCTTGAACAGTGCTATTTTATTGCACCATTTTACATGTGCGTAAACTACAGCCAAGAGGGTAAGTGGCTTTCCTGAGACCACACAGCAAAAAGTGGTGGACTCTAGCTCTGACTCTAAAGCTGATGTTTTCATCCACCATGCTCTAACCTTTGCTACCCTGATTATCAGATACATCTGTGTGGACAAGTGACCTGGCTTTGCTATGTGACATTGGAAGGGCTCTACAGCCATCTGGTTATTGATCTTCAGTCTTTGAAGAAAGGAAAAAAATTTCAAAGGGTCTGAACTATGGAGTCTGAACTTCAAAGGATCAATGGAGGGAAATTTTCCATATGAAGAGTCAAGATGTTTTGGGAAAGAATGGAATACTGTCACTCAAAATTTTGCACCTTGTTCTCAGAAAATATGTCCTTAAATCACTTGGTATACCCCATTTTGACATTTCTGACCCTCCTCAGTATCACTCCTTTAATTCGTAAATGTTCCTACCATTGAAAAAGCTCATTATTAAAATATAGATAGCCAGGAAAAGAACACGAGAAAATCATTTTGGGCAGATCTGGCAGCCTGGATAAAGGTCTGGAAACTCTAGAGAGCCTGGCAGATCTAGAGTCCTTCTTCCCACCTTAGGTCTGGACCTAAGATGGATGGGTCCAGGGGAAAACCCCAGAATGTCCCCAAGGGGTAGTAAATGGGCTCAGACTAATGATCTCTCTTGCTACAGGAGAAGAAGAATCCCAACACAGAGTTCAACATGAAGAACTTGGTGATGACCACACTGAGTCTATTCTTTGCGGGCACAGAGACTATCAGCTCAACTCTGCGCTTTGGCCTCTTGCTGCTGCTGAAGCACCCAGATGTGGAGGGTAAGGCTGAGGGAGCAGGGAAGTGGGGAACACAGACCCTCCAAACTCATCTGAGCTTGCAGCAATGACTTCACCTCTTCCAGGCCTTCTACACACCCTGCTGTGCAGAGATGAGCAGAAACAGAGTCTCACTAGCTATTAAAATATTGATTTGTAAATTCTCCTCTGCTGAGACCACTTTGTGCCAAATTCCCTCTGCCCAGGGCCACCCTGAATATTTTTCTCTTCTGCTCCCTCTACAATTCTTGCATGAACACAGTAATAAGAGTTGGTCAGATAGTGTGATGGCCATCTATTGTGAAAGTCCTACATACATACATAAATACTTGTTATGCATATAGTTTCATACATTTGGACTGTTGTCCCTGCTCTGAGGCCCATGGACACAAAAATACATTTCACTTCTCCCCCAGCCAAGATCCATGAGGAGATTGACCAAGTGATTGGAAGGAACCGACAACCCCAGTTTGAGGACCGGATGAAGATGCCCTACACAGAGGCAGTGATACACGAGATCCAAAGATTTGCAAACTTTGTTCCCATGGGTGTGGCTCGAAGGATCACCAAGAACACCACATTGCGGAACTTCTTTCTTCCCAAGGTGCTGCCCTGCCCACCCTAGAGGAATATCTAATCACTGTCTGGAATCCCAATACCCCATCTCCTTTAGATTTTCCATGTCCCAATTCTTCAATCAATGAACTCCTTAAATACTATTCTCCTTTAGCTTTTCCACAAATAATTTCCTAATTTCTGTGTCTCCTCCGGTCTTGATGTCTCAGGGACTTAACTTCCATGTGCCCCAAAATCCCTATATAAGCATATGGGAATCTCCAACTGCTCCCAACCTCCTGTCTTGAGAGACATGAACTATGTATCTTTCAATTATCAGAAACAAGATCCCTGTTTCATTTAAACATTTTGTCTCAGGGAAGACGAACGCACAACTTCCTTTCTCAGGAGACACCAACCCTATTTACCCCAAAACTTCACCTAGGTCACTCTAATTCTCCCCTCTAACACCTCTATGAGCACCCTCATAACTCGGCCCTCCTTATCAATACTCTTCCTTCTCCCTCACAGGACACTGAAGTGTTCCCTATGCTGGGTACTGTGCTGACAGATTACAAATTCTTCTCCAACCCAGAAGATTTCAACCCTCAGCACTTTCTGGATGACAAGGGGCAGTTTAAAAAGAGTGATGCTTTTGTACCCTTTTCTCTTGGTAAGAAAACTGTTTGCTGCCAGGCCACCACTAAGACCAAAAAGAGCAGCTTTTCCCTGGTCCCCTCTACAAGGTGCAGGCTAATATATTTTTCCAGCTGGGAAGTTCTCTTGGAATCTACCTCCCAGCCAGCCAAATACTAGCTCTAAAACTCCTAAACACCAAATATCTGTATCCAAGCAAGGGGACAGATTTATCAAGCCACTTTCAAAGATTTTTTCTAAGGACACACAACCCATTCTTCAGGCTTGTATACAGGAGATTATATTACTGCAGCCATATCGAGAGTCTGTTTGAAGAGAAGGGGCATCTAAACTTGCAATTGGTACAACCTGGCATGGATCACTCCACCTAGTGTACAAGAGAAATGGGCTTAGAAAGAATTAAAGCCTTCCCTAAGGCCACTCACACCAAAATATTTGAAGCCCCTTCTCCCTGAGAGAACACAGCAGAGTGTTGGTAGGGAGTGAAGTATAAGTGAATGTTCATTCCATCTGCATCCCTCCCTCCTCTCCTCTTCAGGAAAGCGGAACTGTTTTGGGGAAGGCCTGGCTAGAATGGAGCTCTTTCTCTTCCTCACCATCATCATGCAGAACTTCTGGTTCAAGTCCCCACAGGCAGCCCAGGATATCTATGTGCCCCCGCAACCCTTGGGCTTTACCAGAATCCTGCCAAATTACACCATAAGCTTCCTGCCCCGCTGATCCAGGAATGAGCCATGGCTGGGCAAGTTGGTGGGGCAAGGGGAAAAGGGAGGGACCATGGGTGGCCTAGTGGTAGGGATGTGGCCAAGGAAACTGGCCAATAATCCATGGAAATGAAGGGTCAAGATGGATAAGACAAGAAGAAGAAACAGAAAAAACTTCTCACTTTGCAAAAGGTAGAGTCTTCAAACTGGGGTGAGAGAAATGGAAACCATACACTGTGCAAAATGATAATGATGATGATAATAATAACAGCTATGATTCATTGAGCGGTAGTCTGTGTCAGCTCTGTGGTAAAAGCATCCCATGATGCCCTCACTTATTGTCCACAAACCCATCCAAGGAGGAACAGTGTTCATGCCAAAAGCTGAAATTTTAAGAAATTTATAGAAATTTTAAGTCATTAGCTGAGGCCCCAAAGAACATAGGTGCTCAACAAATTCTCAAAAACATATCTATGCACAGACCCCTTGAGAAAGATTCTAGAAAATCATGCCTAAAAAGCTCCATTCAGGGGGTTTTTCATAGCCCCAGCAGGCAGTTAGCCTGGTTTCACCATGCATTTATCCACACTCTTGCTCATTCATACACTGCTTGCATATCAGAGCATCATATTCTGTGTTCCCCACCAGGTAAGCTGACTGACTCAGAGTCAGTCTGGGATACAGGAATCAGACCTCTCACTGATGTGTGTGTGAGACAGAAAAACACTTTCACATAAGGCCAGAAGAAATTTGGACCAACACATAGCTATGAGTATTATGTGTTCCTGCACAGAAGTGCACATGATTGCCTATTCTCCTCAGGAAAGGCCTGAATACCTACGCTGCCAGGGATTTCTAAATGCAGGGCTGTCTTGTTCTGAGATAAGCTGTAAGACCCAGATAAGAGTTTCAGAATTTCCTGTCTGCTCTTATGTGAGTCAGTTTAAATCCCCTTAGAAGTGAACTCTTTGAGAGAATAATGATCCTTGAAGCTAAAATGGCAGAAAAGAAGTACCCTTTCCACAGCTCTGCAAGTAAGAAGAGCCAGGGAAACAAAGCAAAGACAATATCCAAGGAAAGAAAGAGAAGAAGAGCTCCAAGAACCAAGAAAGAGGTGACAGAAAAACAAAACAACATAGAGAAGTGAACAGGCAACTCAGAGAAAACTACAATGCAGTTCACAACTTCAAACCTGGAATCCTGGTGGGAAGAGGGGAACCCAAAATCCTAAATGTAAGGCAAGCTGAAAAGTGCAGGCAATTGTGATAACAACAGCAAACACGCAGTTCTATCTGAAGGAGAAACCCATGACGCTTACAAGCTTTTAATCCAATATGAGGATTTGGTCTAGGAATGGCCAATTCTTTATATAACAAGCTAGCTATAGGAAAGAAATCTATTACATCTCTCATTGTCTTTTAGCATTTCTAAGAGTGCTACAACCAGGAGCCATCTCCAGAAGGGTCCTATTGTTAGGAAATATACTACTTTAAGGATCAGAAAATGTGAGACAATCACAGTTCAAGGCTCTGGGGGACACCTTGCAGAGGAAGTTTTATAGAGCAAAATCATGAGGTGGATACAAAATCACGGGGCGGGTACAAGGTGTGTCAAAACTGATCAACCAATAAGATTACAAATATAGCCACTTAAGTAATATTGATCCAATGGGGAAGTGGGTCAAGTCGCAAGTATATATGAAAAGAACAAAAATCATTTCAGGAAGGGATGGGTCAGGAAGTCTTGGTCACCCACCTGGGTGACTAATGTTTATCTAGACTTTATTGGACCATGTGATACCAATTATAGTATAATCTTCAATTTATTGCTTATCCTTTAGGGCAGGCATGTAGGCCTGGTCATTCCATCTTATTTTGAGGCTTGGCCTTCAACAGATGTGCCTCTAGCCACAGTTGTAATGTGTTCTCATCTTCTGCACTGACTCCTTCAAGGGCCTATCCTGTCTGACTGCCTATAATATTTCTACCTAACTTAGCTGACTATAATATTCCCCCCTCTGAAGAGATATACCTTACTGTTGTGAGAGGGCAAGAGGTGATAATTATTCTGGCTACTTCTGGATGAAGGGGATTGTAGTTGTGATTGGCAATCAGAGAAACTCTCTAGAGGAGCTATCTAAAGTCCCTCAATAGACATCAGGCCTTCTCATCTTGGCTAAGCATATAGCCTTAAGTCTGGAGGAGACAAGACCAAAGAAACCGTTAAGTATTAATGGGCCAAATAATAAGATCAACAACACTATCACTAGTACAACCAACAAATGTTTCCACCAGGAAGAGTCAGTAATAGCCTCTCACAAAGAGGATAAGGATAAAGTCCAGGAAATTTTAGAATCTGACATGGTGTTAACCTGTCATTTAATATCCATTGAGGTACTCACAGAAGAATCAGGAATGTACACATGACATTTAGCTTTTAGAATTGCACAAGTACACCCTTGTGCTGCTGTTAGAATGTCTAATACCATCTGATTTTGAAGACCAGTTTGTCTTATTAATTTTACTTCTTTATTTAGGAGAGAGGGACCACTCAAGGTGTTGTTTAAGGCCTGTTGAGTTTAGTAAGCCAAGGCCTTGATATGTTGCATGACATCTTCTAATCCTAGGGAAGGGACAAAGATAGAACCCAAATGATCATACCAGTGAAACACACTGCTAGACCATCTATGTAGGTTGGGTAAGTTTGCAGGTTTGTCAATATTTTTGACACTCCTATCTTGTAACTATGCAAATCTCAGTGTGCATCTCCCTATCCACCCATCGGGTATCCAGGCCAACAAATTGATTCCACAGGAACGAGTGCTATCAGGGGATTCCCCTCTAATTATAGGGAGATTAAACCAGTCTGTTGAAACCCAGTCTTGCACCTGTAAAGTTAGAGTGTGTATACATTGTTCAGGGAGTGTTTATCCCAAGTGTTGAGCAGAGTTAGGTCAAGGAAAATAGAAGTGGTTGCCAGGCATGGTGGGGCACACCTGTAATCCCAATACTCAGGAGGCTGAGGCAGGAGGACCACTGCAAGTTTAAGGTCAGCCTGGGATACACAGTGAGTTCAAGGCCAGCCTGAACCACATGGCAAGACCCTCTCTCAAAAAAAAAAGAATAGGAGTGATTTCTTTGTTCTCAACATAAGGGGGTCTTTCTACTAAGTTCTCCTATATTTGCAGTTAACTATATCTAATCATTTCATATCTGAAAATAGCCATCTTGATATCTATGATTGCTGGCTCTCGTTATAGGACCTTTACTCTTACTTAATAGGAGTCTTATTAGAGACTATAGAGAGGCTTTAGTGATATTCTTAGAAAAAAATTAATTATGCCAAGGGTTATTAATAGTGTGTAAATTTGGATCAATTATGATTAAGGGACCCTTCCCAGATCAGGAGGACCTGAATGGAGGGCACCTCAAGCAGCTTTTTCTGTAGCTGCATCAGCCAGTTGATTATTTTGAGGTACTTTGTCAACTCTTTTTTGAGTTCAACACCAGGAAAAAAAAAAAAGACAAAAAAAGAAAGGTCAGGCATGTAGCTCAGCAGCACTGCAACTGCCTGGCAAGTGCAAGGTCCTGAGTTCAATTCCTGGTACTGAGAGAGAAAAAAAATTGCTTTGGACATGTGGCTCTTCTGCACAGCCTAACACTGAGGAGCAGAGCTCAAATTAAAATGCATTAATTAAGATGTTCACGCTGGGAGTCTAAGGTGGCAATCTGCCTCCAGAACTGTGTTGGATGTGAACATCCACCTATAGTGGGAACAGGGCACCAGTGTTGACTTTCCAATCATGTGTAACTTGCACAAAACTGTAACTTGCAGAAGCCAGGTCCACGTTCACCAGCTCCAGGCCCTCAGCAGGACTCCCTTCAGCCTGCTCTTCAATCACCATCTGTCCCTTGTGACAGGCCTTCTCTCATCCACTCTGGGAACATGGCGGTGTAAAGTATGGCTTGGAGCCAAGGGTCTGGTCTGGGACCTAGGCTTAAACACTGAGCCTTTCCCTACAATGGTGTCCTCACCAGTTCTCATTCTGCAATTATGGCACTGGATGCTGGTCACTCACCAACTGTTGACTGTGGAAGACCACTCTGGAAGCACTGTTCCACATTTTCCTTGCAGGTTCCAAGTGCCACTGATTCTCTCAGTCCTAATGTGGTTCTCTGTGAGTGAAAAGTTTTTAGTTTCCCTTTGTCTCCAGAATGGTAGCTGGGCAGACACTATCAGCTGCATGGTTCACAGAGGGTCACCTCTCTTCTCGGTGATGTGTTCTATTTTTTCTGTATCTTTTAATCCTTTTTTCCTCCTCTTTTGTTAGTTCCCTTCTGATTCCTGGTTGATCTCCTCTCACTTTGATTCCTTTCCAAGCTACCATTTTTCAAACTCCAGATACTTTGTCCTGGAGAAGCTGAGTTGCTGGAACTCACTGCAGCACCATTTTTTCCTCCCCTCCCCTCATCACTTTTTTAAAACAGGCGGTGCCCAACAATAGAATTCTGGCGAAATTAATGTCTCCAGTAAAAATACCCCAAACTAAAAGGAATATTGAAACTGTGTTTATTAAAATTTCAGGTGAGTTCGATCCCCAGTACCAAAAAAAAAAAATTTCAGGTGTGTGTGTGTGTGTGTGTGTGTGCGCGCACAAGTGTGTATAAATAATAACTGCTTTTGCTTCTATGGTGTTTTACCTGGTTTTGCTATATTCCTCCACACCAAAGGTTGTTTAATAAGATTTTCTAATTTTGTGTTCGTAGTTAATTGATTTGATTCAATCTCCCTATATCTTTTCTCACTCTCCAATAACATTTTCTTATTTCCTTCCTTTTGATTCTCTTTTAACACCTCTCACACTTCATAAAACCTCTCCTCCCTCCCCTTCAATTCTTGTATATAAATAGTATCATTAAAATCTTTTTTTAGTTTTCATTTTTTCCATGCCTGTGTATTGTTACTATCCCCTTTCCCTTGATTAATTAAATAGCTGAGAACTTTTAAAGCAAGTCGTATGCTTGATATGTGGTTGGTTATTTAGACATTGATAGTACTGCTAATTATAGTATCCCCACAAAGAAGTGATAGGGATTGAACTTAGTACATTGAACAGTTTGAGTGGCTGTTGTCACACTGAGACACACTCAAAGCCCAGAGAATATTAGAAAGAGGAATCCACTCTTTAAAAAGTCCTTCACAAAATTGAGGGAGAGATATTCATCCCACAGGTCTGCAGATTTCAATACAAAAACAGAAGAATCATGAAGAAAAAAGGCAACAAAATCCCA